GAGTACAGAGAAAATACAGCCTAAGAGGGCTTAATTAAATAAGAAATATGAAGGCAAAGATGCAGGCTTCTTTGCCTATGGCCTTTCCCCACATCTTTGGAAGAGTCACTTAAGTTATCTGTGCTTCAGAGGAGTACTAGTGAAGACTCTTGGAGACAACCAAAATCAAAGCAACCTAAGCAGAAACAGGCCGACTGGTCCTGTAGCTGGGCGAGCCCAGAATCAGAGAAACAAGTGCGGAAACTGGGGCCTCTGGGAGCAGACCCGGGATTTCCATTCCATGTTCTCCCCTCTGCTTTTCTCTGAGTGTTGGTTCTCCTGTCTCCTATCACAGAAAGGTCTTCTCCACGAAGTAGGAAGTAGAACCAGTGGCAGGCACCAGGAAAACCCAGAAGAAGGGAAAGCAGCTCTCCCCAATGGCCAAGAGAGCAATCTCAGCACTCTATGGCTCCTGCTTGGTGTCCCTGCCACACCTGAGACCTACCACTGTTGCCTCTAGGGTGAAATTCTAAGACTGGCCAGCTTTAGTGGTCCTTGAACTCATCCCTAAGGCAGGGGTAGGGGGTGGAGGGCAGCAGGGTCTGTTACCACATTAGGGAGTGGGAAAACTCACCAAATAGATGAAAACAGTAGTCCCAGTCTGTTACCTTAATAGCCATTTTCCTCCCTTTATATCATAATATTGTTTTAGATAATGCAAAAAAAAAATTATCTTCATAGTGTTATATAAGCATAAAATTTATTATAATGACCACTTCATAGTTGGGCAAAATAAATACATGATAGGCTTAATTACAACTGTGACAATAAATGGTGAGGAGTAACTGAAAGCTGTTGGCTTGCTCCCAATTTAAAAAACAAACAAACAAAAACCACGCTGGCAATATGAAAACTCTTGGTCAGGACCCAAAGTACAAGTCATGACTCAAACCTATGCAGCCCTGAGGTTCCCCTACATCACCAGAGGAATAAAGTGCTGCCCTTATCATATTTTTCCTGATTGGAAGATTCCCTGACAAAACAGCCATTGGGAGGGGCTCTTACAAATTCCACCCACTCTATAAAGAAAGAGGTATGACGACAGCACTGGGGGACAACCGAGGTCTACTGAAATGGAAATGGGTAAAACAAAAAAAAAAAAAAAAAGAGGCTCCTCCCAGAAACGTAATCGGACAGCATCCCTTTGACAGAGATCATTAAAAAGCTCAGGTGTGCAGTATTTATTTCCTCCCGTCTTGCAGAAACATGAATGTGGGTATGAGAGGGTGGCAGGGCTGCAGAGGGAGGCTGAGGAACACCACAAGCCTTGAATCACAGTCGGCCTCTACGCACTGGTGTTCAGCACCTCGCTCAAGGGAGATGAGAGTCATAATTATAGTAAACACCAAGGCTTGCAGGGTTTTGCAATCTCAACAGGGGTAGACAGTGTTTAAAATTCACATTTCTGATAGTCAGTGTGTTATTCGCATCTTGATGTTGTTACAAGGCTACATTAAGAGTTTTTCCCAATTTTTTCCCAGAGAAATACGTGAATGCGCTCTAGGTTTCAAATACGTATTGATAATTCACTATATACCAGATAGTCCTACAGGTGCTGGGGATACACCAGTGATCAAAACAGACCAAAAAACTATGTCCTCATGAAGTTTATACTTTAGCTGGAGGAGACAGATAATAAACATAATAAGTAAATAAGGTACATAATAAGTAAATAAAATAAATACCTACGCAAAATACATTTACATAAGAAGTAAATAAAATACATAGCATTCAGGTGGTGAGATGTGCAAGAGAAAAGAAACAAAGCATGAGGGTGCCTGGGTGGCTCAGTTGGTTAAGCCTCTGCTTTGGGCTCAGGTCATGATCCCAGGGGATCCCACTGGGCTCGCTGCTCAGCAGGGAGTCTGCTTCTCCTTCTCCCTCTGCCCCCCCACTCATGCTCTCTTTCTCTCTCTCTCTCAAATAAATAAAATCTTTAAAAAAAAAAAAGGAAACAAAGCATGGAAGGGGGATGGGTGAAGGTTGTAACACACACAGGACCATCCCCTATATTCTCCTACGCTGTAGATTCTTGGCAGATAAGAACAGCAACAACAATCCTCTTCCTGCTGGTAAAGACCCCTCCTGGCCAGTGCACAAAAGAGGAGAGGATATGGGGAGGGAAAAAGAGAACCTAGGTAAACCAAAGAGTGGGATTCAGCCCTGGGTTATGGCTTTCCCACATTTTCTCTGTTCCTACTTCAGTTTAGATTTCTGTGCCCAACCTGGGTAACAATGTTAACAAAACCTGACTCCCATCTCCTTCATGGAATACTGTTGATGGGTCATGTGGCCTATAAGCTGACCCCAATATATATTTATCTTCATTTGACTATTAAAAAGATCAATACGTGGTTTTTTATGTTTCCATCATCACCTATTGGTTGAACACTTACTATGTACCAGACCCTGCTCTATGCCCTGGAGGTACAGCAGTAAGACACACAAGGTGTCCATCCTCAAGGAACTTACATTCTAATAGGGGAGATGAAAAATTCAACAGTAGACTGAATAGAGAAGATACTGACAAGAAGACTGTCTCATACCTGGACTGTTCAATGGCATCAATCAACTCCTCAACTTAGATGGCTCTCAAACTGAACCAAGTTCTTGACTATCTGTGGTTGCCTACAAAGCTCTTTCTATAAGGGAGTCATGGTAATAGTGGAAATCCAATTGTGGCTATTGGGTCTTTCTAAAATGTTGAAAGGGCTGCTTCCTCTCTCTTACTGACAGTCTGTTGTGTGGACAAACAGAAACATACCCTTCCACCTCCTGTGGGTTTCTATTTTGTGAACTGCAAGAGTGTTATTCCAAGTGGTATAAATAAGTATGCCTTTGGTTTCCAGAGTCTTTAGCAACTTATCATAGCACTACTGTTTTGGGTTTCTTTAAGTGACAGTAAGAACCATTAACAGTAGTAAATATATATATATATATATACACACACACACACACACACATATATATATATGTCATAATAATGACAGTAACATGTCCTTTTCAAAATAGAAAGTGGAGCAACAGATCTCCTCGGATTGCTGTTAGGCAGGGCATTTCAGTAGGAAGGGTAAAGAGAGGAATTCAAAACAACACACTTGGAGAAGAACCAACCCACACCTTTTATGTTCAAAGTCACTGGATGCTGAGTAGATGCAAGAGACGAGAGAACGATAATGTGGTTATATCACACCCCAACACCTTGGGGAGAGAAGCCTAAAAGATAGGAAGCAGAAAGCTACAAGACAGTGTGTTATAAGCACTAAATGCTTTTTCACACACATGCTCAGCCTGGCTGATTTACCCAAACACTCCTCTCTAGCCCGAGTAGCTCCATGGAGGCGGTTGTAATTGTAAAGCAGCCAGAGAGAAGCAGCTCCTGTGTGCAGAGGAGTCCCTCCAGCTGAGACAGCAAGGGGACCCACCTGACAGCACTTTGACATTGCATACCTCGGACCCAGACTTTGCAGACACAAGTTTCTGTGTGCACCCCAATATGATCACAGGTAGTGTTCATACATATGACAGACGCTTACTATAAACACTGCTCTGAAAGAGGAGCTACCTTGCATGCTTCTCAACAGTCAGGACTGCCTGCCAACCAAAAAGACAAAATCTCCAAGTAAGTTTACTGCCTCTGTCTGCAGCAGCCCGACAACTCAAAAATCATATTATTTGGCAGGGTTTCCCACGTGGATCAGTGACAATGAAGCTCACTTGGATGACTGATGGAAGGGCTTTTTATAAATTGCACTTTCAATGGGGATCCCTTAAAGAAACATATACTACCTATCGCTTCCCTTAGAAACTTGGAATATCCCAGTCAGGATGTGCTGTCCTGTAAGATGAAGCTAACTTATTTCAGTGCCTTTTTTATTTTGTTTTGGGTCATGTGTCTATGTGTGCGCGCGCGCATGTGCTTTCAAACACAATAACTACAGCAAAACAAATGGCCAAGGAGCTAGTATTCCCATCACTGTCCGTAAGGAACAGAATGTCTGCAGGATATACTTGGAGAAAAACTGTTGTTTTTTCTTTTTTAACTGCATTAGATATTTGATGCCAATGTCTACTGAAATGAGTATCTAGTAGTAATGAAAGGTGTCTTAGGGATCTGCCTGGTCAACAGAGGAGTAAGCTGTAAATGTACAGCTAACACTAGAGCTTCCTGACTGGGGTGACCAGCTGTTCATTGTTTATGAAACATTTTCACAGAAAATATTGTGTATTTCCAGGTCACCTCTCCGCAGCACCCCAAACCAGACAGAACCCAATGAAGTGAATGAAATTCAGATATCTCTGTCCATCAGTCCCTCTAGAATTCTGGCCACTGTCCTGAAAGCAAACACGCTATTTCACTATTCCAATATTGCTAGGAAACTCCAATATTGGTTCTGACCCCCACTTTCTCTGAAAAAAAGCCCTTCCTTCTAGTAATTATTTCCCGATAGAAAGAATCCTAAGAAAATATCAGAAGTTGAACTAGGCGGGGCGAGGGAGAGGAAAATTTAGCAGCCAGAATGAATGCTGAATTTGAACTGTTGGTAAGTTCTTGGACCACCTGCCAAGATGTTTGCAAGTATTTTGCAGAGAATATCTTCCTTTGATTAATAGTCTGTAGCCTGAGTCCCCAGACTTTTCTCCTTGGGCAAAAAGGACCAGAAACATCTCCATGGATATTGAGCTACTACAACTGAAATCTAAAGGCATCTCCTCTTCCCCCAAAGAAAGTATGCTTTGGAAATAGCAAAGCATTCTAAAACACTCAAAGAAACAAGTCTCGGTTGAAAAAAAAAAAAGGTAGCAGTGACTGTAATTAACAGAGAAGCAGTTGTGGAACGTCTAGGGCTGTATTTAAAGGGGCCTGCAGGAAGGGGGTGAGCAGTCATGGCTGTAACGGGATACTTAAGATACCGATTGCAGAGAGAAACGGGGCAGGAGAAGTAAATAGATTTACTTACAGCCCTCGGAGCCGAAGCCAGATTTTCTCGATCTGTTCGGGTTGCAGGTATTTCAGAGAGTTGCTCTCAAATTCTTCAATCTCCTTGGTTGGCGACTCCATAGCTGCAGGTTATCACTGGGAGTGAGGCTGTGAGAGTTTGAGCTGTCCCTCCCTGCCTCCTCGCCCGTCCGGCCCTCGAGCCCCAGCAGGGCGCAGCGCGCCTTTGCCTGTCACTTTCTGCGTGCGCTCCTCCTTTCTGCGCCCACAAACCCGGACTTACTGCGGGCTCGCAGCGCGGGCGATCCCCGGCCCAGGTGCCTCCCGGAGGCAGCTGCGGGAACCAGCCATGGTCCCGAGCTAATACCGAGGAATAGGGATTGTGCTTCTGCTCCAGGAGAAAGCACCTCGGACCTATTCGGATTTTTTTTTTTTTTTTTTTAACAAAGCCACAGAAGCGATCGGTGTAGCAGCTGAAGGATTTGGGGGAGAAAGGGAGACCGAGCGGGGAGGAGAAACAGAGGGGAGGGGAAGCACCAAGGGGGAGCTGGTGCGGGCGGGGTGGTCCGACCCGGAGGCCAAGCACCCCACTCCCCGCGCTCCTCCCCAGCCTCGGGCGCCCCGCGGCTTCCCTCCTCCTGTCCCACCCCTTCTCTCCCCTGCCTCGCCGCGTTCGCGCCCTGTCTCTGTTTTCTTTCACTTACCAGCAGCTCTGCTGACAAGAAAACTGACAACTGAGAAAAGTCGTCTGTCAGCGCGCGGGGGCTGGCGTCTGGTCTGACACCCGCGAGCGCGAAGGGAGGGGCGCACCGGGCAGCGCCGTCCGCGGGGCACACGCTCGCCGGGCTCGGGCCTCGGACCCGGAGCCCCGCGCGCCACGCACCGCCCCGGCGCGGACAAAATGCGGCCGGAGGAGCCCCGCGCTCAGTCCCAGGGAACCGAGGGCTGCGGCCCCAGGAGGCTGTGGGCCGAACGGCGAGGCGAGCTTCCGCGGAGTTCGTGCTGGCAGCTCTCAGGTGGGGCTCACCTACACGCCCGCCAGAGAGCCGGTTCCATTTTGAAATAGTAAAGCAATTGGTAGGGATTAAAGTAATCACACATCACACTTAGAAAGTCCTGATATGTTCTTGCTAATGAGAGTTTTCATTTCTCCCTCCCTCCCCACCGACCCCGCCATGGTCGGGGGGTGGGGGAATTGGTCCCGGGTAAGGAAAATATAAACCAACGGTGAGGAGGTAGGAGTTTCCACCCATTAATGCCACATATTCCTCAAGGGGTCCCTGCAGGGCTTGATGGTTGGGCAGGCGTTGAGACTGGCAAAGAGTTTCAGCTCCACAAAGTGGCAACTCACTGTGTCCCCCTAGGTCATTCACAATGTCAATAAAGCACTGTGCTCTGGAAGAATGGGACAAGGTATGGAGCTGGGAAGGGAGGAAGGAGGGGGGGATTAAGAGAGAGACTAAAAGAGAAGATCCTGGCTCAAGTTGATTGCAGCCCTGACATCACAGACTGGTGGTCAAACTCCCATCTAGATGAAGCCACTATCACCTCCCAGGGCCATTTCAAAGCTGGGACTCAGGGTTCCTGAGATTCTGGGTGCAGCTTGCCCCATAACATATTTCCCTCCCTGGAAGATTCTTTCAGTCACATTCCCAGCATCCTTTGGCTAGCCATCAGTTATATGCCTGCTTCTCAAAAGTAAGATAGAGGTAAAGAGCTAGTTTTTCTTCATTGTTCCTGTAAAATTACATTCATACGACCTTATAAAGGAATACAATGATATAGTGTCTAGATCCAAAATGCTCACCCATTTGGTAGTTGGCATTTACTTTCCAGAAATTAGAGGTGAGAGTGATGGGGATGGCATGACTAGCCCCATTCATTCCAGTGGAAGAAGGTACCTTCTTCAAGGTGAGATGACTGACCTATCTGATTGAAAAGGACTTACACACTCACCTACCACACAATCTGAAGGCATCGCATTAGAGTCAGTCCTTGATTTTCTGGAAGCACACACATTATCACTGAGTTAACACATTACTACCAAAGATAGCATTAAGCAGCCAATATGTTAACATGAAATTCATTTATCTGAAAAGAACCAATTACCTACCCAATGTCACCCAGCAGGGAGCAGTAACCTGCTAATACTGGATGTTAAAAAAAAAAAAAAAAGACATTATTTTAATAACTTGTTTTGGGGATGCAAGATGGGAGGCAACCTGGTCCCCAAATTAGATTACCATCTTTGTGCACCTTGGGCAGCCTGCTGTCAGAATATGGAAGTGTAGTAATGAGAGTAACAGCAAACAGGTATCCAAAACTATCTATAGTCCAAACACTGCTCTAAGGTTCTATGCTCACATAATATTAGCAACAACTCTAAGAGGCAAATACTATTCTTATCGTCCCTATTTTACAGTAAGAGCTAAAGCACAGGAGGTTATCCAGACCTACTACAAAATGAACTGACCTGGAAAAGACCAGCATTTGAGTTATGGCTCATTACCCTATCCAGTACAAATCTGTCCCCCTCACAGGGTCCCATTTTCCACATGGTTAAAGTAAAGAATTCAGGTATAAAGATTTTTTTTACATCTTAGTTCCATCCTTATGATTCTGCGAGGTCATCTGGAGAGAACGGGGGAAAGGAATTGCTGAAAAGGGAGATAGATGCATGTTGCTGAAAACATATTTCAATTATGGTATGGTTTCTCCAAGGACTGGCCTGGGATGAAAGGATGCAAGGGAATAATAAAGCCTATTTGTCTTCCTGCCTTCCACCATACCTATCACCTTTTCGTCGTATGAGTAGGATTTGGATTAAGTCAGAGAAAAGCAAATTTTGGAAGAAAAAGAAAAGGAACAGCCTTTCACTGCAATTAAGCCAATCAGAGAGGGAAGACAAAAAATACTATTTAACAAAGTTTCTAAAAAGTAATTTTGTTTCATTTTTTAAAACTGAACATGCATCAGAAAGTTAGTAAGGCTGTATCACTTTTCTTTATTTTAGAGACATATAGTTTTGGGGGCTGGAGGGACCTTAAAGATAATCTGGTTTAGAAGTTTACAATTTTTTTAAGCGACAGAATATTTTATTTAGAATAACATTTTATAAGGGACTCCAATGCATACCTCATGTTGAAAAATTAAAGAAAGAGCTGCTCTGGTTGAATGGGGAAGTGGGAGAGTGCTTCATTCTCAGAGACAGAGTTCACCTCTGCCTTCTCTATATCCCATCTCTGTGTGACGAATACTCCCACTTCTCAGATGAGAAAACTGAGCCCAAAGTACCTAAGACTATCTTAGGATTTCTTGCTCCTAATCCACGGTTGTTTCTAAACCACATTAGGAAAAATCTGTCTTCTCTCTGCCAATAAAGTATTACTACTATTAGATGCACCATGTTATTATGTCACTCAGATTTTATTCTTTTTATCTATCACAGACAGGATATGCTTGACAGTTGCAGCAACATTATAAGCCACAATTTCCATGGGCAGTCCACTCAGAGACAAGCAATAAACAGATGCAAACCCACTGAGACATAAAAGATCTAAGAAAATGGAAAGCCACTCACAACTTCGCTTGGGAGGTTAATTTCCATTGTGACTTCCTTACCCAGCTTTTTCAATAAGACTTTTTAGGAAATCTTATATGGTGAAACATCACTAAATATATATATATATAGACATGCATACATACATAAATATATAATGCATATACACATACATATACATACACATATATACATAAATATAACTGCCAATTTAAAACAGTTCCCCAAATAAACACAGAGTAACTTAGTCTAAGTACTAGCAAGCCTCTGCATAATCAGCATTAAGTATCCTAAGATCAGAGAGAAAGTGAACTCCCTGTCTGTGGCAGAGTTCAAGGAGAAGCTGGATGACTATCAGACAAGGGAGTAGGCATCAGGCTTTGTAGACATAAGAATGACCCCTCAGGTCCCTTTCATCTCTAAGATTTCACGACCCGATAACAATCGTAATAACTACAATCACTAGCCTTACCAGTTACTGAACACTACCATATCCCAAGCACCACGCTAAGCACCTCACAGGTTGTTTCATTTCATCCTCAACAAAACACTTCAGAAGAGTTCATCATGCCCATTTACAAGTAAAGACAGAAGAGGATCCCAAAGGTCAGATCACTTTTGCAAGGACAGACACTTAATAAGTGGCAGAGCCAGGTTTTAAACCCAGATCAGAGTGCAAAGCTCCTGTTCTTTTCCCTCTGTTATACCACCTCCCTGCAGACACATAAAAAGATAAGTAAAAGGGTATATAACAGAGAGGGCGGGGCTGTAGAAACACAGATGAAGGGTCACTGATACTGGGGGGAGGGGGATTAGGAAAGCAGAGGTGACATTCAAACCGGATCTTGAAAACGGATGAGTTGAAGTTGCTTACATGGAGGATGAATGAAGGCAGGTAATTCCAGACAGAGCACACTGCATGAAAAGAAACACAGAAGCATGAGAAGGTGTGGAGGGTACAGCTGCGCACAAACAGTTTTAGATGGCTTGACTCTAAGTGCATGACTAAGACGATATGGAGAAAACACTGAAAGGGTCAGCCAGACTTTGTGGTCATGGAAGAAACTCAGGCTCTCTCCAGATGATGGAGAACGGGGGGTGATGCTAGGTGGAGGAAGGCATGGTCACATGTCGAGGGTACCCACTGCCCTGAATACATAGCAGACGCTGAAGTCAGCTCTCCAGGAACCTGCCATGGGCATATGCAACAACCATGCGGCAAATGATAACCAGGGCTCCATAAGAGGAATCCAACTACCAAATACAAACAAGCTCCTCAACCTACAAAGAAGGAAGAGTTGCACAAAGGAAAGAGACAAAATCAGAAAAAGCACACCATTTTCTCCCATGAACACCCATCTTCCAGCTTTGAGATTAAGACTGTTTGCTTTGACCTTCACGAAGCAAACCAGCGCCCTTGTTACATTTTTCATGATTTGGCAGTGGCATCATCCAGAGAGTCTGTTGAGGGGGAAATTCTGGAGAAGCATTTAGGATATGGCAAGTAGCACTGCCAGGCGCCGCAGCTCCTCCTTCCCATTCACACCAGATATGAGCCAGCCCCATAACACACAGTCAACAGAGGCTCTTCTCTCCCATCGGCTTCCCTTTCCGGCAAGGGGCCTCTCTGGTGACAGTCACACTGTCTTCTCTCCCTTTGACACTTTCTCATTTTGGTTTTATAATTTGGGGCAGACTCTGTCTCAGGAACCACCTCTACTGGAAAAAGAAAGTACAGGAAGAGGAGTGAACCGCTAAGCCCAGAGGACTCCTGTTCTCTGGCGCATCTGAAATGGGGTTCTGAGCAGCCACCATCT